GAAGGGGGCGCCAGATCTTGGAGGTAGCCAGGGCTGCCGGCCAAGGCCCTGGTTGACGCGCGTCAGAGGGGCCTTCGGGAGCCACGGGAAAGAGCTCTGACCTGGCCTCGGGAGGCCACGTCCAAAATAACCGGCCCCACCGCCCTGTGAGGACTCAGCCGGGCGCACGTAGGCCCCTCGGCCCCGGGCGTTGCCAAGCTGGGTGCGGAAGGTCACGGCTATTTCTGGGCCGGCCTGGCAGTGAGACACGGGCCACCCCCCACCGCTGGCGCCCCCCAAGGACCAGAGAGGGGCGGGCCGCTGCACCCAGGACACACAGCAGAGGGACCCACGGGTCCCCCCTGAGCTGCCACCTTCCCTCTCTGAGCCCTCTCTCCCTTTCCAGAAGCCCGTCCAGCGTCATTAGCATGTCAGTTGGCTCCATTGGCATTTCCAGGCCATCATGGCCACCCCAAGCCCCGGGCTGGACAAAGAACCGTGTCCCATCTCTGAAACAGCAGGAGGGGCACTGCTTCCTGCCCTTCAGCGGCTGGAACCCCACGCGGTGCAGCCTACACCCCAGAGACGCCAGTACTACGCCCGCCACGCACGGCCTCCAACCCGAGCCTCCGTCTACCCTCTACGGGTCACGGCCTTGCGGGTGCCAGTGACCATCCAACCACCGGGAACCTGAGGCCCAGAGAGGCCGTGAGACTCTGAAGCGGAGCTCCCCCTCAAACCCAGGCCAGGCAGGGCCTCCAGGGGCCCAGGGGAGGGGACAGCTCCCTCCCATCAGCCCGACCCAGGTGAGGTTCTGCCCACGTTCTTGTTCAGGCTGTGACCACCATTCCCAGGGTGTGAACGGCTTGGGAGTCTGGCCTGGTTCCCATCCTGGCTCCCCCGTCGCAAGCTGTGTGACCCTGAGCACATCCCTCAACCTCTCTGTGCTTCCATTTGATCATCTGTAAAATGGGTTCGCTGCAGCTGCAGATGGCTGTCCTCCTGGGGTCCGGAAGGACACCTCCCTTCCAAGCAGCCTCGTCTGGATCCCTTGAATGTTTCTGCTGTGCCAGATACCCCCACGGGCTCTGACGGGACTCTGAGCCCCGCAGGAGAACCCGCGTTCAAGATGGCGATGCTGGGGACACCGAGGGCTTCTTCCCCGCAGAATGTCCCGGAGCCCGTATTCCTCTAGAGACGTAGTGATCTGGAGGGGCACAGCCAGTGGCAGCCTTCCAGAACGTTTCTGACACCACGCACTAGCAGCGAGGGCACCTCATAGAACCCCACCTCGGCCCAGGCCCAGGCTCCAGCCTCCCAGCCGCGAAGGTAGGAGAGCCTCCTGGCCTGGCCTCCCTGCCTCCTGCTCATCTTATGTGGCTTGGACCATCTCTAGCCCGGCTGGTTGTCAGTGGAAGGACCACCACGCAGGGACGGAGGCAGAGCCCGGGCCGGGCCACACCGGCCACCACCCCCCAGTCTCCTGCCCCGGCGTCCCCGTGTTGGTCATGCGTGGCGACCTGAGGGTGGCGGGATCGGCTCCTGCCCGCAGACATCGGCCGCCGTGAGGGCAGCAAGGCGGGATGCCCAGCCTGAGAGGGCAGCGAGGAGGTGCCGGCCACAGGAGGGGAGGCACCCTACAGGCACCCACTAGGCACTCAGCCATGCCGCCCCCACTGCTGCCCCTGCCGCCCCCCGCCCCCCCCCCCGCAGCCCCACCCACGCCATCCGAGCTGCCTTCCCAGAGAGAAGGCACGTCCCAGGGCGCTGGGCATCAGGACCCGGTCACCTGCACTGTCCAGCTCCCAGAGGACACAGTGGGCAACCGTCACAGCAGAATGACCCAAGGGAAACCCCTCTTCTCTGGGGCCTCGAGGGCCCCCCATGGGGAGCCAGAAGCCCCACCCCCCCCCC